GCGACCTTCCTTCAATCAAAATTATAGTCTCTAAATCCTACTTTTTTACTTAAGTAACATGGGTTCCTTAGAGAAACAGATAAACCCTGGTTCTGTGGCTAAATATAAGGTAGGTGGGAAGTATTCTGCCTACTCCTGGCCAAGACAGGGAAATGAAAGTGTCGATATGCATAACAGATGCACATTAGATCTTAATGAGAGAAAGATATCAGTCACTTTGGGAGGCTGGGGTGGAGAGAACGGATGTTAGAATTAGCAAATAAAGAGCCATGTGTTTTCTTCTTTTCCTGTACAGACTGCAACTTAAGTTAACCAAACGACAAGCGTTCTCCTAACTGATGCCTTCTTGGTGTCAAAAAAAATAATAGAATATTAGAATTTTCAAATTGGTAATAAATAATGGATCAGGTAATGGCCTAATGAAAATCATAGGATGAAACCATTACCATCTATGAAGAATAGTTGCAAAAATCCAACTCTGGCCAATCTTTTAATTAATCAAATGACTTGGAGACAAGGTCTCATATAGCTCAGACTGGCCTCCGAAGACTTGCTGCATAGCTGAAGATGACCTTGGCCTTCTGAGTCTCTTACTTCTTCCTCCAGGAGCTAGGATTACAGGGGCCAAATCTAGGACCTCTTTCATGGGAAGGCAGCACTACCTCAATTAGCAGATCTCACCCCTCTGATAGAGCTCTCAGATCTCCCTATTAAGACACACACATTTCAGGGAAATGACAGAGAGTAACAAAACATTCATGTACCCAGCAAAATTCAGATTCTGTGAAACTCTTGGTGACAAAAAAAAAATGTTTTAACAGAAACATTACAAGGAAAGCAAGAAGAGTCAGGCACACAGGTAAAGATTAATGCTTGGAACAGAGCCTAGTGTGCATGCCGTTAATCCTAGCACTCTGGAGGTAGAGGCAGGCAGACCTTTTGTGAGTTCAAGGTCATCCTGGTCTACACAGTAAGTTCTAGGACAGCCAGGGCTATGTAAGCAGACACTGTCTCAAAACAAACAAACAAGCAAGCAAATGCCTGGTTAGTTTAAATACATAGAACTTATTCTGACCTTGACTTAAGCAAGCTACTAAAAGCATCATCCCCAATAATTACAATCCTACATGAAGTTGTCTCATTTGTGTATGTTTGAAACTGTCTATGTTGAATGGTAAAACAATAAGACATCAATTAACCTGTATATTGAGCACTTACTACATACATACAAGACACTTTTAAGCACTTGTTTAAACTGTCCCTTTGGGTGAGGGTGGAGCCTAAACTGGAGAGTGCGCCTGCCTACCACATGCAGCCTTGGATTTCATTCCCAGCATGGCAACAAATGAAGAAAAAAAAAAATATCCTACTAGCACCCTGCCGGGAAGCTGGTACCCATTGCTGCTACAAAGAAGAAGAAACCAGAACAGAGTGCTTAAACACCTTGCCCAAGGTCACAGAGCTAATAAATTAGGACCTCAGAGAGAGTTAGTAACAGAGTCTACTCTAAGCCATGGGTTTGTCACCAATGTGTCTGGATGAGGGCAACCTTTAGTCCAGACCTCTTGTTTTTTAACCTATGTATAATACCTCTCACAATGGTGAGGACCATGGTTGTGATAATGGAGAGAAGTGGATGGTTGAGGAGGCATCGAGAAGGTGCCTGACAGACTCCAGGCAGAGCTGGCTGAACAAGCTTCAGGGGAGAGTCCACCATCTCCTTGAGGTTTCCAGCTTACATAGCGGAATAGATGGCGCTACTGTTCAGTGGAACAGGAGATGTGAGCGCTCAGGCCTAGAGGGTAAAGATGACTTGCGTCTGGAGCATTCCCAGTGTGCAGAGCCTTTGGGACGCCTGGGTGGGGGTCACTGACGAGCTGGTCATGTAGGCACGCTCCTTCAGATGTTAGTTCTCTTTTTCTTTAGAACTGTGTCGTTTTTCTAGGCGGTGGGGACTTTTCTAGTTTAGAAGAGTGGCTGAATATGTTGGTTTTTATTTTTGTTGAAGGAGTCACCTGTACACCTTGTAAAGCTTCCGTGCTCCATCCACTGAATCAGGAGTGCCTGAAGTCGGAAGTCTCTAGCATCCACTCTTCCCTCACAGTCACAAAATCCTGGCTCTTCCCACTTTTGCAACAAAGGGGCTGGACATAAAAGCCAAATTACTTGCTTGACGTCACGGTGTGTGTGTGTGTGTGTGTAAAGTAGCAGTCCCCATTGCTAGTCGGTGTTCTGCCAGCACACCCCTGGTTTGCATTGCAAGGGTGAAGACTGGAGTGGTGTGTGGGCGTGGCTTCGTTGTACAGGTCACCACAGAGAAACAGCCCTTTGGTGCCACTTTTCTCTTTTAATTGATTGATTGACCGATTATGTGTGTGTGGGTCAGAGGACAATTTTTGGTAGTCTGTTCTCTCCTTTCACTTGTGGGTCCTGGGGATTGAACTTCCTAGGTTCCCAGGCTTGGCAGCAAGCACCTTTACCCACCGAGTCATCTCATTGGCCTCCTTTGTACTTTTCATCCAACGTTCCATTGCAACATATGGAACAATTCAGTTAGGTGTTAGCATATTTCACCTTCTGTGTTTGTCTGACATAGTAGAAACCTCAGGCTCAATCTTGAGCAAATAAGAGCAATTTATAGCAGAAATTTAATTAGTTATCTTATTTTCATTCTGGATATTTTGAGGGCTACCTCCTATTTATTGGTAATAGTAGTGTTTCCATGTACACAGAAACATAAGACCCCCCCCAATCCATTTAAGTAAAATAAATGAGGTAAAAGAGCACAGATATCAACTTGATTATTAATTTGATTAGGTTGAGAAACACCTAGGCTATTAGTAAAGTACACCTTTGGGTGTCTGCTGGGTTGTTTCTAGAGGATTAGCTAAGAGCGTAAGAACTACCGTGGATGTGGGCAGCACCACTCCCTAGGCTGGGCACAGAGGAGAAAGGGCGAAAAGCAGTGTCTCTGCTGCTTCCTGGCTGCAGGACGTGAATGGTCCTTCCATTACGCTACTCCCACCATGACAGTCTGCCCTACCTAGGACCCAAAGAAATGGAAGCAACAGACCATGGCCGGAAACATAGGAACCTGAGCACAAACAAACCTTCCTACCACCAAACAGTCTCTTACAGGAACTTGGGACAAAAAGTACCATAAACACTCCATCATGCACCCCAGTAATGGTGGTTCCGAGAAATGGAAGAAACTCACCCCAAGAAGCCATTCTGATGGCTGACCTCTTGAAAGATGTTGTTCACCTCCTCACCCTAGCCATGGACCACCCTGCTGCCCTTACCTAAGTAACTGCCTGTCTTCACCAAACATCAGGCAGCTTCCCAGGCAGTTTCTGTTCACTGGTGGCCAAATCTCTGCAGCAAGCTTGTTGCAGACCCCTAATGCTATATGTCAGGCATTAACTTTAGTCTCCATTGACCAGACTAGCATAGTCTTTGGTTGCCCATCGGATAGCCTGTCAGGCTTCAAGAAAGAAACAGGGCAAAAGGCATGTAATTACTAAGCCAAGACAGAGCACACCTAAGACACTGGGCTATTTTGAAAAATCTTACAATAGGTGCTTTGTTTTGTTTTGAAACAGAGTCTTATGTATCCCAGACTGGTCTTGAACTCATCAATAGCTGAGGATGACCTTGAAGTTTTGATCTACACTGCCTAGTGGCTAGGATGCTGGAACGGGCATGCATTCTACCAGCTGAGCTACAGCCCCTCCAGTTGGCATTTAAAAACTAGTATATACTCTAATATTAAGTGTATTGACTACTCCTATTTCCATCTAACTTTCTTCCCTAAAACTCTAACCCCCAGTTTGTATGATGATGCAGTGTTTGCCTTCTCCTCCTGTCCTAAGACAGAAACATATTCATTAGATTTGTGAGAAGTGGATATATGTGGTGGCCTTTAGAAACATTATTACGAGTTCTTCTAAATATAGACAAAGACAATAAAAACTCCCAAAGCTATGTGTATCTTAAAAGACATCATTTTCACACAAAATGACTCTGCCTGTGTATCCCCAAGGAACTGAAAAGCAGATCATAGTCACTGGAACCCTGCTGGGCAGAGACAGTATCTTCTCTATGCTTTGTTCTGCCTGATGCTATCTGTTCAGCATATTAATAAAAAATAGAAATCTGTATCTAACATAATGTCTGCCTCCTCTCATTCATTTCCCATGAGCACCAAAGGCCAGTTCTTTTCCGGACTAGACTCCAAAGCCGGAACACATTAGGTTTAGGGCTTGCAAAATATCCTTTAAGTGAAGGTGACAAATATTCCTGTTGTTTGAAACAAACAAAAAATGACAAATATTCCTTTCTAAATCTACAAAGTCAAAAAGGCAGTCTTCTTGAGTGGGGTACCTTAACCCAGAGCCCATTGTGATTGCTGCAGCTACGAAAATTCCAACTTCATGGTGGAGGGGATACAGGAAGAGGCTTGATGTGCACTCGAGACTCAGGATATATTCCCACACCGAAACAGGAAGTCATCCCCTCTTCCGTACAGGAGGGTTGATGGTTTGGGGCAAGGAAGGTGTGTATGGAAGGGTGGTGGTGCGGGTTCCCCTCAGGGCTACAGCAGAGTTCTTTGGGTCCTCCAGAGCCTGGCTCCTGGCCCTGCCCAGACCATTGTCCACACACCTCGTCCCTCCAGCTTCCGGGCCGCCGGCGAAATGATTTGCTGCAGATGACATCAGCCCTGGGCCAAGGGCTACAGGAGTGGAGGCAGCTACCACGAGGATGAGCCGGGTGGTCCTTTCCTCCTCCTCTTCCTCCTCCTCCCAGGCTCCTAGCCTAGTCTCCATATAAACGGCTCCTCCTCCCCTGCCTCTCACTCCCCGCTCCTCTCTTCCGCGCCGGGAGAGGGCGGAGGAGGAGGCGACGCGCGCCGGGAGGAGGGGGGACGCAGGGGGCGGAGCGGAGACAGCACCTTCGGAGATAATCTTTTCTCCTGCCGCAGAGCAGAGGAGCGGCGGGAGAGGAACACTTCGCCTAGGCTTTAGCAGCGCCTGCAGGATGGCGACCGTGGTGGTGGAAGCCACGGAGCCGGAGCCATCAGGCAGCATCGCCAACCCTGCGGCGTCCACCTCGCCCAGCTTGTCGCACCGCTTCCTAGACAGCAAGTTCTACTTGCTGGTGGTGGTCGGCGAGACGGTGACCGAAGAGCACCTGAGGCGTGCCATCGGCAACATCGAGCTGGGTAAGCAGCCCCGCGGCCCCCCAGGGACGTGCGTAGGCAGATGCGCCAGAACGACCCCACCCAGGGCGCGACGGCCACCTTGTTCTCCCGCGTGCCCAGCACCCACGCCTCTCCAGGCCACCTCCCGCACTGCATCTGGATTTTTTTTTTTCCCTGAGATAATTTCTAAAATATTCTGAGACCCAAAGAGAGAATCTTTGATAGCCCCCAGGGATGGATCCCCTGCCTGAGTCTGCGGCCACCGCAGACTTGGTCACCTCCTCTCATGCTCAGTGAAAATGCAGGTGTCAGAGGAGCGGAGGCCATAATAAAACCGCAACCGCAGGCGGAGAAAGGGTGGGGTGGACCTAGCAAACCTCTCCTTTTAGCTCTCCTCTCGCCCTAGGCAAAGGCTGAGACCCTCCTCCCCTTACCCGAAAACCCATGTGCCAAGGCCCTCATGTAAATCATGCTTATCATAGCCACCCTGTGCCACCCGATCCTGACACACACACACACACACACACACACACACACACACACACCGACCGAGAATGGAGAATGCCCTTTCTGACTTAAAACTTCCAGATCCTTTCTTTCCCGGGAATGACTAGGCTAGTCTTAGTGCCACGCCCGCCCCACCCCACCCCCACCCCCGAAGACACAGGCTTGGAACCCGTCTGCACCGGGTTCCCAGACCAACGAAGTTCGGCCTCATCCTGCCCCTGGGGTCCTAGCTTCAGCTTTGAGAAAGGACAATGGGACCCTAGGGTGCGGGGTGGGCTTCTCTGAAAAGTCTCAGCTTCAGGGACCCTAGCTTGAATGGGAAGAGGGGGTGGCGGGGTAGGGCCAGCTCCTGGGCTGCTGCGCGCCCCGGGAGCGGGCTCTGCAGAGGCGGAATAGCGGTTCCCGGGGAACCCTGGGCGGGGCTGGGAGGGCCCGGGAGGGCGCAGTCTCGGGCGGGCACCGATCGGCCCCGCCCTTCACTCAGCCCCACCCGGCCTGCCGCAGTGCCCGCACCCGGCCGTCGCACCTGCCCCCGCACTGCGGCGCCCCCGGCTGGCCCCGAGCTCACTGTGCCCGAGCTTCGCGCGCTCGGGGGCCTCGCGCCCACCGTGGCTGTGAGCCGCTTTGTTGCGACCCCAGTCCCCCACCCTCCCCTCCACTCCATCGCTGGCCGGGTCCCCGCACAGCGCAGCGCAGCGCAGCCCGAGCGCTCTATTCTCCCGGGGTGGTGCTGAAACGTTTCTGCCAGCAGACACCGGCTGGTGGGCGTGGTGCAGTCCGCACTGCGGTCTCTACGGCAGCCCGAGGCGGACAAAGGGCGTTCACGCAGCCCTCCTTTCCCGCTCCCACTCACACCAATAAAAGATGGATGAAATGATTTTGGTTTAGGTGAATAAATAAATAAACAGAAGCTTGTCACCTGCCTTTGCATTTGGAAATGGCCACTTGTCCCCAGAACAAAAGGCTGCAGGGTGGGGACTGGAGTTGCAGACCCGGTTCTTTTGTTTAACTTTAAAGCACAGATTTTCCCTTTCAGCTAAAAAGAAAACAACAACAACAATAACAAAGTGATCAGAAAGCCAGTCATGGTTTTTTATTGGGGGGGGGGTAATCAAGAATAAGAGATTTTAGAAGTGCAATGCTTTATCCGAACATCTCAGTAATCCATTTTCAGGTTATAAACCCTTGATCTGCTTCTCAAACTGGGTTTATTTGCACATTTTACTCCTGGAGAAAGCTCACACGCACTGACTTTGGGTGTGGCTGTTGTGGGAATTAATGGCTAGGTGTTTTAAAAAGCAATTTCTTTACGTAGCATTGCTGGGAAATAACATATTAAGGAGTGCCTTTTCATCTCCAGAATTTTCAGGATCACCCATTGTGGTGCCAGGAGAAGAATCCTCACGCCCATTTTTAGAGGTTGGAGACCCAGGGAGGCAGGAAGGGTGAGGGACAGACTCAAGGTCATATTGTGAAGCAGTGACTTGAGAACCGGTACACAGGGTCACTGTTTGCTGGGCCATAGTGTGAGCAGGCTAACGTCAGAGAAAGATTCAGCCAGCAGTTTGCAGACCTTGTCTTTGTACAGTCGTCCACTTGTGGGCAGCGCTCGTGCAGGGAGGTGGCTCGGCCATCGCCTTCAGACTAGACTACAATTATCTTCCTGCTTTGTTACTGGTCTCATTATCCTTTAGGTGTTCCGCGCCAGGGTTTATTCAAGCCTCTTTCTGTCGGAGGAGAAAATAAGCAGCTAAGGAATTCTGTGATGTACCTCCTAGCTTTACTTCATTTTACGCTGCATTTTGCATTTAATGCAAAAATCCAGATTTGTCTTATTAACATAAAAACATAGTCTCAATTAAAGTAGGAGTGAGAGGAAAATGCACAAACCATAAGCTAGCAGTTCATTGAATTTTCACAAAGTGAGCACACCTGTGTTGTCCAGAGAAGAAACAGCCATTACCATCCTCCCAGAAGCCACCCCACTTACCAACCCCAATGTTCACTTTGCAATCAGCATGCTTTTCTGGTTTTGAATTCCCTAATTTGGCCAGGTTTTTGAGTAGATCTCTGAAATGGTTATATCGATCTCATTAAGAACCAACCAAGTGTGTGAGCACAGCCATTTCCTCCAGGGTAGTAACAGATGTTGCTGATCCTCTGGAGAGTGCTCTCCTGGGTCCTGGGGTCTCCTGAGCAGCCCACACTGCCCTGCCTTTCAAGGATAAGTGAACATCCTGCTTCCCAGCTTTTCAGATAGTCTGAGATGACTTAGCAACAGGGAGGCAGACCCTGTTTCCTTGGCATGACACACTGCTGCTTCAGCTGGCAGATCCCGGCTGGGCTTCCTCCAGAGGTCACTCCGATGCCACCGCTATTGTTGCTGGTGCCTGCAGGTTACATGATGTGAAGGAAGATGGAGCTGCATCAGGGGGCTCAGCTCTGATTGTGAGCTGCCTGCAGGCTGGGAAAACAGCTTTTCATCTGTTAGCCTTTCTTATTTCCTCTTCCTTTCCCATCCAAACTCAGGCACTGCGTGCACAGTTAGAGACCCTGGAGACTGCCATATTTGCCATCTGATTGATTACCTAGGGCGCTCTGGAAAGGGGGGAAAGTCTCAACCTCTGCAGAGGGATGGTAGATAATGCAGTAAAGCGACTGGCCTGAAACACCCCAGGATGGGTGCTAAGTGCTTCTTGAGACCAGGGAAGCTAATCGGTCACTCTTACTTGCTCAACTGTGTTCGAAAAGCTCAAAGTCAAAGTCAGGGTTGATCATTTCTTCCCCAGAGCTTCAAACAATAGCGCTTCCTTGCACTGGTCCAGCTACACTGATGTAGTTACATCAGACTTGATTCCGAATCTTAGCGACCGCCACCCACTGATTCATTCACCCCAACCCAGTTGGCCCCAGGGTGCAGTTAGCCTAATTTATTTTTTAGCAAAATACTGGCATTTGTTGTATTTTAATACATGGACTCTATGCAACAATACCCTGCAAACTGAATTTTCAAGCCTGGTACAATGAGTTTTCATTGTTTCATACCATTCTTTTTAAAGAAACCAAGCCATCTAATGAATACTACGTGTCAGCTTGAGGCTTTCAATTACTATTATAAGGCAACTGTCCCTCTAGGTGACACTGGGAATGCACAAAATGTGCTCCTAAGAAGATAGAGAACTATAATATCCACTGCCTTGGATTTTTTGATGTGAGTTGAGCTGGGTACATTGTAACAGTCTGAGGCTACCTTACCCATTAGGTTCTGTCCAAAATGGTAGGCCAGGAAATGGAGACCTGGGGACAGCTTTGGGATTTAATTTTCATTTTCTTCAAGCAAGGGAAAAAAAGTGAAAACCATATATGGTGGGAGTTAAAGAGATGCTAGAATGTGTTACATTTGTTATAGTCATCTTCACACTTCCAAAGTCAGAAGGCAGATGGATTTTTGCTTGTACTGCCTAATTAGTGTTACCCACTAAGGGCTCTGTGATCCAAGTTGAAACACAAGCCGGTCAGTCCTCAGATGGAAGGTCATTAAATTGATGCTTTTCTGTTAACCTTCCATAAAAGCTTACTTCTCAAAGTAATCTCTAACTTTCAGATTAAGAAATAAATTCTTATAAATCACTGTTTGCTTCTGTTGTAAGAAGTTCTCTATGATAGTGAGTTTTTCACTACCAAAGCTTTGAAATGACTGCTGTAAGATGTCATTTGCATTACACACCCGAATGTGCGACAGACATTAGATTACAGGCTTTGTAAAGAAAAAAGCAAAGCAAAGGTTGGGTCACAGGAAAACTGGGAAATCTTTCCTCTAAAAAAGCCGCTTAACATTTTCTGTTAATTATTTCTCTGGGTTTATGCTTGTGTTCTAGGTTCAGGTTACCTTTTGGTGTCGTTTTTCCAAACAGAATCATAGGATTACAGGCTGGCCATTCTGATATTTACAAGAAATACTCAAAGGCCTGTTTCTCAAAGGGACAATTGAATTGGGCCCATTAAGGAAACAGCTTGTGAAAGGCCACAGAACTGTCACATAGAACCCCTGAGCACTGGCATGCACTGTGTGGTCATCATTTTCCTTTCTTTGGCCTGCTGCTTCTGTTAGAAACAGGCACTTTTCATCCACTGAAGGAGAGGTGCTTTTTTTTTTTTTTGCTTGTTTGTCTTATTAAACCCCAAATTCCTCCATCATCAGGGTACACTTGGCACAATCCAGCCTGCAGACCTGGGGACCAATACTCCTCTCCCTTCTTCACCTTGATTCTCTCTGAACCGGCCTTCCCCTTCTTTCCATCGGGTGAAAGCCACGTGCCTGTTGGCTTCTTTGTGCTCTGCTACCACCTGGGGTGAGAGACCTGAAAAGAAAAGATGCTTGGATGCTTCCTACTCACCTGGGATGGACACAGTCCCTGGGCTGAGCCAGAATTCTGGAGCAGCCAGGAGCGTTCTCCAGCACCAGATGCTCCTTGAGCATTTGAAATACAAAGGCTTTCCTACCTCCAGTGACTCCAGTTGCTAGCCCCTGGGTAATCCAGTCAGAGTGAAGTCCTCTTATTGCTACAAAATCAAAGCTTCAATCAAGGGCTTGTCCTTAGAAATAGAGGATCATCGGGGGGGGGGGGGGGAATGTCAGGCATACAGCATGTGTTCCTGGTTTCCAAATCTCTTCAGAACCTCCTAACAACACCTGTGCATCCCCTCTAGCTATGACATCCAGAGGGAGAATATGACAATGGCTTATCAAAATCAGAGCTCCAACTTTGGCTCCCAGTTAGGCATAAAAGGGGCAGATCTAGAAGATTAGTAATAAGGGGCCAAGTCTGTCTACTAAGTCTCTTATTTCCAAAACTGATATGGCTGTAAAAATGTTCATTTCCACCTAAAGTAGTCAGGGAGTTCACTTAATCTTTATTTTATAAATTGCAGCAGCCATTGTACATCATTAAGAAATACTTTGGCTGGGAATTGCTATTGTAGAAAGAAAGAAAGAAAGAAAGAAACTTGAAGTTTTCCTTTCATTGGGAGTTTGCGCAAGGGAAGTTATTTTTGTTAGCTGTCTACTGGTTTAATTTAAGAATTAGCTCAATGTTTCTTAAGGTTGAGCGTTTTTTCCTATTGCCAGGTTATACATGTAAAATGCATAAATGAATATAAAGCGAACATTTCACCACTTGTGTGGTGACAAGGGGAAATGACAAACAACAGCGCAAGGGCAAGTGGACACCTGGCCCCTGATGAAGTCATTCAAATAATGTAGCCATTTAGATGTGACTTAGAACAAAGATGGAAAAATAGTATGAATTTAATTTAAATACATATGTCTCATTATTAACTTACTGACCCAGCTTGACAAGCCAGAAGACAAAGTGGCGCTCCGTCAACAGTTCCAATTAAGCCGCTCAGGCAGGAACTCAATGGCTTTCCACGAGAGGCTAGTATAGAGTGTATATGTTGAAGTAAAATATTCTAATGAATTCAGACCTCTCAACCTGTCAAGCTCTGTGGGGAACAAAAAGAAGCCATTTATCATTTCTCCTCTAAAAAGACCCACAAACTCTCAACATGCCTTTCTTGTTAAAATTTAAATATTCCATTAGCACAAATGCAAACTGAGGCCATTTAATGTTTCCAGGGAGACTCATAAAATTTCCCCTTATAATTTAGCCTCTCCTTAGGAATGCTCTTTGGGAATGTTAACTCTTTCTTGTCTGAATTCTTCCCGTTATTCCTATGAGAGAGTCTGCCTCTGTCTAAGGGGCACGTGGCTGTTTGAAAAATCTTCCTGTGATGGAAACAGTCTTTGTCCAACAAACTAGAAACTCAGATATCAGAATTACAATTTCAAGGGCAGCCAGATAGATAGATAGATAGATAGATAGATAGATAGAGAGATAGAGTTCTGGGTTGGTTTGGTTGTGTAGCAAGATCCTGTCTCAAAAAACAGCAAAAATGAGAGAGAATAATGTTAGCGATAGCTTTACATATACAATGAACTGAGATCCATACTCTTCTAGAAGATATATAACTAATATATCTTTAACTAAGGTATTGCATGTAATTAAGATATTATTATATACCTTTATTTTATGTATAATGCACATGATTACTCTTAAGGTAAGAATGTTTAATCAATCATAAAAGATGACAAATACAGGCATACATTAATGATTTAGAGGTGGGTTTCATGCACTGCTATTTAAACCCTGTAGGCTAATGGCACAAATATCAATCAATCAATCAATCAACCAATCAACCAACCAACCAACCAACCAACCAACCATTGGCTATTTGATTAGAGACAGTTCACTTGCAGAGTTAGCCCTAAGGGCTCAAGTCCCTCTCTTAGGAGAAGGATAATAAGATTTGTTGGTTCAGAAGTTGGTCCCTGGCAGTTGAGGATGCTCACACCAGTGTACAGCATGTCATGGTGCTATGTACTAGCTCCATCATGACCAATCTGTGGGGGAAACTCTAAGCAGATATACGTGAACACAAATACAGATAAGCTGTCTTGGGTTCGAAGCTCTTTCTGGCTTCTGTCCCGTGTTCTCCTGACTTAATGTTCTCTGTGTTCCCTCTGAGGCATCCCCTTTGGGATGAGGAGGAAAAGGGGAGGTAAGGAAGAGACTTAGGAGGTGTGGTCAGAACCAGAAACCACCATCATTCTCATTCCTGACTGTGGGTTAGTCTGGCCCCTAGTTGTTCTTTCCAGGATAGTGCAAGGAAGTTCATGCCCGCTCCCAATCCCATCAGGGTCTTATCAAGTATAAAAAGTTGCTGCTTTTCTATAGGATTGTTTTTCTTCTGAATTAAAAAAGAAAAAAAAAAATCGGCACAAGTTACACTTGTGAATGAAAGCACTTCCTGACAAGTTGATTTGATCTAAGAAATGGCTGCTAGGACTCCTAGGCCAAGCCTGGAGTTCCACATGCTTATTAAAGAGCACACAATTTTGGATTTGATATCCAGAGGTTAAGAAACCAAGGTGAAAATGAGTGAAGAAGAGACCACACAAGCATACTTCAAGAACATCCTTTGGAAGCCAGAGGCCTGGGCTTGAATGGTGGCTTCCCATCCCATCTGTGTCTGACCCTGGCCACATAGTCGTGGATCCTGAAGCCTCTTGGCCAGAACTGGCATCTTCTGCCCTTTCTCTCTGTCCTCCAGCCTGCCATTTCCCTAGTAACGGCTTTCTTTCCAGCCTCCTGCAGTGCTGCATTTGTGTTTTGCGAAGGGACTACCACTGTGGTGGTGTCTCAGTGTCTCAGTGGCATGGCCTCCCCTTCTCCAATGTGGGCATCCATTGCTAGTCAAGGGATGCTTTCCAAGCCCACAAGCCCACTGGGAGCTGTCTCACTGGAAGCCTGCCAACTGTCTTCCTTTTCCTCCACAGGGATCCGATCATGGGACACAAACCTGATTGAATGCAACTTGGACCAAGAACTCAAACTTTTTGTATCTCGACACTCTGCAAGATTCTCTCCTGAAGTTCCAGGTGAGGCTTGCATTAGTGTTAGCCTAGACCTATAAAGGGTGAGGGGTATGACCATTGCCTGGGAAAGCTTTGCCTAGCATGTAGGGGTGGGGGTACACGACAAAAAAAGAAAAGAAAAGAAAAAAACAACAACAAACTTCCTCTCATCGCTACAAGGGTCTTTGTATTTTGTTTGTGTCAGTGGTTTTAGCCAGTAGCTACAACCTAAGAAAGAAGAATTTAAGTGATTGCCTTGTGGGTTATTTAGGGCATGGATTCTAGGTGAGAGGTTTCAAAGTTCAGGTTATTTCCCTTTTTTTGTTTCAATGTCTCTGAACTCAAGGGATTACAGACTACTTCAAATATTAATTTTACTCAAAGCTGTGAGTATAAATTGGGTGTCCCTACAATCCTCCAACTCCTTTCTCTAGAAAGAGAAAGGACACATGGTGTTTCAGACACAAAAGATGTTTTGCAGCTTGCAGATCTTCCTTAGTGTGCAGAAGAGTCTGACATCCCAGCCTTATTATTGCAGAATAAAAAAGAAGACAATAAGAGAATCAAAGGTAAGGACACAAACAATGGTCATAAACAAAGTTGTTCCCCGACAACACTCTCGGTGAGGATGTGCCCCGCCCACATCTCTGGGCTTTGGTGATTATTTATGCAGACTCATCCCTTCTTTCTTTGTGATCGATGCATTTCTCCCATCTGGTCCCGTTTCGGCATTATAAAACAGTGTTCTCAATCATGAACCTTCTAAACCCAGGTGTTGCTATTGAAATGATAACATTTTATTTGAATCTTGTATAAAATCAAGAGTTTTCTCTGTATATGCCTCTCTTCTCTGTGCTCTTATTGACACTGACAGAACATCAGGAATGAAGGTTGGACTTTTTAGATGATTAGATCATATTCCAGTATCCCATACTGAGATTCCAAACCATGTGTGTGGAATGTTGATGCCTTTATGAGTCATTCTTAACTCAGTAATATGGCCATTGGACCATCCCCTTCTTTTCCTCTTGAATTGAGATTTGAATAAAACCCTGTATATTTCAGTGACCTGCAACTGTAGCTTTCAAGCACAGAACTTAGAGAAGATGGTGTGTGGGGTGGGGGGGGATGGAAGGGATGCTGTCTAGGGACCATCATCACGTACTTTGCTGAAGGCTAGGTACAGCTTAAGGTATTTTTCATTATTGTGTTTTATTTTTATGCCTTGCAAATCCCTGTAGCCATCTCACAAAAGATAAGTGCTCTTTGACAACAAGTATGTTTGTTTCAACAAGTAAAAACCAAGCATCTCTGTATGTTCTTTCAGATTTCTCTTTTATAAGACTTTTTTTTCTTTCTTTTGTAAACATGTGGCTTTCGTTGTATATGTTCGTATTTGGATTGTCTTTATGTGATGACAAATGTGTATTGCAAAATGAAGGATTGCAAAAAAACTGCTGAAGTGTTAACACTTTCCAGACTAAAGTCCTGGCTTGGACTGCTCTTGGAGACTAGAAAAAGAGAGCTCTCCAGATTGCCACGTTAGCCGGACACATCCTGTCCCTCCTGCTGTTACCTGCTATAAAAACAGGTTGCTTATTTAGTAGTGTTAGCACTAGGTTTGGGGACTGGCTTTTGGACACACAGTGCCCTTAGCATTCTGGCCAGCTGCAGAATGAGTTAGTATTAGGACTGTCCCTCAGTGGCCCAGCTTCCCTCTGAGCACAGCCAATGCATGGTGCCCCTGTGGAAGCATGAAGTTTTCTGAGCAAGACTCTGGTACAGGTTAAGTATTCCATATCTAAAATGTCTGGGGCCAGAAGAGTGTCACATTTTTGGAGATTTTTGGGTTTGGGGCCTTTGCATCTTTAACGCTCAAATCTAGAATTTTTTAATCCAAATTCTAAAATCTGTCATTGACAAAGGAACAATTGAATCTCAAGTGCTGTAGAAAGAAGCAAGCGCACAGGCTGGGGTGGGTGGAGATAGCAAGATGATCCTTACTTTGAGCTCACGGAATCCTTTATCGAAGTTTCTTGAACACACTGGAGAAATTTCATCTGATTCTAGACGCGATCAAGTCTAGCGGTCTCTTTCCCACTCACTTGGAACTCACTAAATGCTGAGTTGTGTCTCCCAAGCTACTCACAGTGGAATCAGCCACGCCTCCTCCTGTAGAGTTTCAAACATCTAAGTCTATTTAGAGACAAGGAATATGACGAATGATGGAGTCCTAAAAAACAAAAACAAAAAACAAGACATTCAGTTGCTTTAAAACTATTCAAAGGAACCTAGCATATGCCATGGATTCTGAAGGGTGAAGTGAGTAACAGAGCAGCTGGGACCTCTGTCACACTTCTGTCCCCAGGGGAGGAAGAGGCGTCACATGCATAGTGGCATAAAATCCTGTACCCTAGGCATAAAATAGGTTTACTTGACCAGGTGTTGGTGACACACACCTTTAATCCCAGACTGGGGAGGCAGAGGCAGGTGGATCTCTGTGAATTTGAGGCCAGCTTGGTCTACAGAGCGAGCTCCAGGACAGCCAAGGCTGCACAGAGAAACTCTGTCTTGAAAAACAAACAAGAACAAGAAGGAAATTTGTCGTTGTTTGTTGGTTGGTTGATTTGGTTTGGTTTGGTGAGTTTTAAGCTAGGAGCCTTACTGTAGAATATTTGTTACCACCCATGACTCAGTAGACAAGGGCTCATGTGGATGTCAGAGCCATTGTACACCATTTATGTTGCTTGTTAATTCCTTTATTATTTTTAGGGTTCAGAGGCCACATATGAAAAATTAGTGTTACCTTAATTGCAAAGGGCCGATCGCATGGGTGGAACTGGCCCTCACTCTCATACTACTGTAGACATTGTCCTGGGGCTTTGAGGTTCAGTGGGAGTCTAATCAGGTCTCATTCAAAAGTAGTCTGACTTGTCATTCAGGACCTGGGATGTAGGTAGCCTTTGGTACACTGGGTAGGTTGGCACAGTGTGACTCCCTCAGAACATCAGTCCTGTTCCGTGGCATGGCGGACTGTATGATTTTGGGACTGGTCAGCCATTGAAGTCTATGCCGGTGTCTCTAACCAGCTGAGCACGGATTTGCCCCACAGTCACTCAGCACACTCCTGCTGCTGTGTGCCAAGGCCATCATTCCCTGCTGATTCTCCCTGATTGAAGCTTTCTGGCCCTGAGAGCTGGCCTAGTAGGCACAGTGGTCCTGAGACAACAGCCTATCTTTCGCTCGAGAGACAGCTCAGCAGCTGAGTGTTCGAACATAAAGCAATGTGCTATATGCCCTTCTATTTCTAAGTCCCCATGCCATCACAAAGCTTTTGCTGTGTATATGATTTTTGTGCCTTAATGATGAGTCATTATTGCAGGTTTCCAGGAGTAAGAATCAGCTTTTACAGAACCCCAGGCTTGCCATGATGCACAGAATTCTATTCACTTCCCTTCTATTGTTTCTTTCCTGAGATTAACTGTAGACTTAGGTGCATATAGTTACAGGGGAAGTTATCATCGGAGGGCATAGGAAGTATCCCAAGATTGTGATGGAGAGACACCCCTGTCATACAAAAATGAAAAAAAAAAAGGAGGGAGGGAAAGAAAGGAAGGAAAGGAGGGAGGGAGGGAGGGAGAAAGGGAGGGAGGAAGGGAGGGAAGAAGGAAGGAAGGGAGGGAGGGAGGAGGGGAGGGAGGGAAGAAGGGAGGGAGGAGGGGAGGGAGGAAGGGAGGAAGGAGGGGAGGGAGGAAGGGAGGGAGGGAGGAAGGAAGTCATTCCCCAAAGGGAAAGCACACCAGTTTCATTCAATCTTCTCTTTTCTCCCCTTTGGCTCTTTTCCTCTGCCCTTTAACATAGTTAAAGTTAGTAATCACTCAGTTCCTTGCCATCAGCACAAAGTGACAGGGACATATTCTGGAGCCTGCTCCCCACATTTGTCCTTAGCCCTGTGGTGGATTTTTTTTATCCCCCGAATGACCTTGGACAGATACTTTCCTCTCTTATAATGCAGACTACTTACTTCTGCTTCATGGTTTTCACGGAGACCAAATGAATACAAACACCCTGAGACGTGTCTTCTGGGAAACGAAATGGAAATGAGTAGCCATCCCCCATCTTCACAAAGAAAACCTGTGTGACATACGTGTGTGGCGATTCTTATTGTCTGTGGGAAGTGCCAAGCTCACTTATATGGCTGGCTGGCTTCCTGTAATAACTTTTAGTTTGTATCAGGGACAGTCTCAGAAACGGTTGCCTTTGGCTCCTTTTGTTGTCTCTGCTCCTTTCCTTCTGTGTAGGGGGCGGCAAGACCCCCTGAGTCCAGTCACACATGTATTCTCAGCCGTGTTCAGTCCCTTGGGCACCAGAGCAAAATGAAGGCTGTATGCTAGAGTACTGCTGGGTAGAGCAGAGGTTAGACCGATTGCAACATGGCCTGACACACCGAAAACAAGGATGGTGACGTAGGGGGAGAGCCCTAGCTGTCTCCCTGACTGTGGTGACCCAGCCTTCCAATCGCCCTTCAATTCCACCACCATTTCCTCTTCAACACACCAGTGACTACAGGCACTGCCGATTTGAAGAAACTCAGATTTCCTGTGGTTTATGAATAAATAGTACAACGTTGGTGTATGTACACGCTGTGACTAGTTTTATCGCCACTAGCTACAGATCACATTCACAAAAGCCTTTCTTTGTATGGTTGTGACTGATTTTGAAATGTGTACCTGGGCGGTTCTGTTTAAGGACTCAGGGTCTTCCTATAGATGATGAAAGACAAACAGGCTGCAGGTGAGCATCTTTCAGTCTGTGCTCAGTGGCTGCTAGAAATACCCTTTCCGGAGATTGGTGTAGGTAGAGAATTAAAACCAGCCCTTTCAACTCCATGCTTGCGAGTCCTTTCCCTCCTTCCACATTCCTGAGTCAAGGTCTCATGGCCAACATTTGCCTTCAGAGTCATAGGAAAGATACGACTGTTCTTACCATGTGTTTATCCTATTTCTGTGGCTAGTCCTGTTTAT